TATATATCCACGTATACTCGGGATCGTTGCAGAGGCTTGTGTGTCACACATCGTTGTTATCTTGGCACAAACACCAGAGTAGGACACCGGTGCTTTACTATCGTACAGCCATATCAGTTTATTTCAATTAGGACTTTTAAAAAAAAAACTGGGATGAGCTGGGGCTAGTCTACAGCGAACATTCCGGGTTCCTCAAATCCAGTACTCAGTCGCTCAACCCCTTCCAAGCCACAGAAGAGGTGATGTAAAGGGTGCGCAAAATTCAATGAATAAATAAATACCCAAATAAAAGAGCGCACAAAATAAGGTTGAACCACCCTCCAACACCTGTTTGTATAAAACGCTTTCTTCTTGAATGCTGCGAATGTTTCACAATGCCCATTTGACATCTTCATTTGCTCTGCTCTCTGTTGTGCACACAACCACGGGGATACGAACTCTTATCAGGATGCTCACAAAGAGGCGCTGCAAAGACTGTTGAACGCCCAACGAGAGTACCATCAAAGTTGCCTGGACGCGGTCGACCAAGCTATGCGCTGAATGTAAGTCATTTCGAAACATTCACAGATTCTTCTTTTGTATGTTCCTACGGCAAAGAATGTTTTTTTTTCTTTTGAAATTTGACTGTCATCTGACGGGACCAGCATGGTCGACTCTTGGGGTGGACCACAGTGTCACCACATTCCGTGATCATTCGATTGTTGAATTATAACCCCCTTGCTTTACTTTTTCCGCGATTACTACTTCAGATGCGCTTTCCGGTTTAGATCGAGATTGATCGAGAATTGACGAAAGAATTGTTTTGTGGGCTTATCGCTGCCTGGAAAGTACTCCTGTTGGTTTCGCATTAAAAACTAGAGGAAAACTTGTAAGAAACACATGAGGATTAGATAAGTCCCAGAGCTGCGCTGGTGGCGTCGTCATTATAATCTTTCGGCACAAAAAACCGGATACACATTTTACAGTGGTTGTAGCTGAAACTGCTTTTGCTCACCAATGAGGATAGCAGTGGGTAGGTAGGCATTAAAGGCAATATCTGATAGAATTCGTGCGTGAATCCAAGGATAGATACGTACGCATCATTGAGCGCCCGATACATCCGCGTCTGTCAATGTCTAACCATTGATGTGTGGCAATGACCAGCTCAGCTAGCTGTGCTGGCAACTGCATTCATTCTTTATTGCCAAGTCATTACCTGACCTTCCCATGGTTCATTTCTACTCTCCGCATGGTTGTCTGAAAGGGGTTTTCCAATGAAGTAGTTGGCTGGCATATGAATCACGTGACCGGCCGATTTTCCCACCAGACTTGCGCAGTAATACGAATGCTACAGCAGTGCTCCAAACTGGCCTGAATGAGACAGATTCGACACTCACTACTGGTTAATGTTCAGGGCAATGAATAGTCTAACAGTCTCAGTTACCACTGATGATGTTGCAGCTCCATCGTAATGCTTCTAAAACTCTCATCGTCTGATGTGACCGGAAGTAAACCAGTGACAAGAGCAATCGATTATAAATAGTTGTCAATGATAATTACGCGCCAGCGTGCTTCAGTCGAAGAAACTAGCTGCTAACGGGCCGAAATATTGCAAACCACTCCGTTTTTACAACACTATTTTTGCTAAGGTAAAGAAGTAAACTACACTTGTCCAAATGTACACACATTGGCAAACGGAAAGCCCAACCGAATCGTGGCTGAATTCTTTCGTTTATGGTACTCTTCAACTGGATTTGCTGCACATTAGGTCCAACTCTAACACCAACGTAATTTGCAAATAACTGCATTTCGCCGGTTGCGCACAGTACCGTGTTCAGTTAGAGTATTCGTTTGCGGAATCCTGGGGGAATCCTGGGGAATCTTACTCATAAGCCCGAAATAGGGCATAACTAGTTGGCTGGCGAGTAATTCCGGTAGTGTGTTTTGTCAGAAAAAACTAGACATCCAGTTTTTGACCTACAAAAAGCGACTCGGTTTTGACGGGAGACTCACCTGGAACCAAGCTGTCTCCCGTTTTTGATGTTCTTCAACTGAATATGCTGCACCAGGCCGCTTCATGTTTCATTTGGTGCGATATTCGAGATATTGTAATACATCGTGTAGACGTAACACACTACTCATAAGTTTGCTGAGAACTCTATACAACGTATTGCAATGTCTCGCATGTCATGTGGACTGAAACACGAGGTGACCTGACACAGCACGTTCGGTTGAAGAGGAGCATCATAAACAAGAAATTCAGCTGGACTCCAGGTGAGTCTCCCGCCATACAGATGAGTGCACAAGTCTAATTTCTTGAAATTTGGTTTAAATAGAACATAAGTTTGACGGAAACCCGAGGACTGCGCCCACCTTATAAGCTTGAAGAAGGGCAAAAACCATCGTCGATTGTTGATTGGCTCTCGGCAGTGTCTAGAAACATAGCTGTTTTATCTGGAAGGCTCACTGTCTAGGTTCTAGGCGCCTGTAACAGCAGCTGCTTCAAAAAGGCAAGCAGAATGGAGACCAGAACAAAAACCATCCTTATTAGCCTCTTGGGGAGAAATAGCCCTGTAACGAGGAGTATGTGAGATCAGTATTTCTCGCTAGCCATTTTTAGGGTCCAAATATGTATGTGCAACGTGCAGAGCAGACACTAATACCCTCTTGACCGAAGAACTCTGTTCTATCACGATCGTTGAGGTCTTATTTGACCGAAGGCTTCGAGTTATGTTTTCATTCAACTGGGCATATCGAGTTCCCTATTTTGGTATACAGCTACGTGGCACCGTCTAGCCGCAGATCTGACAACATTTGTGCCTCACACTTTGTACGATGAGTGAAGGGAAATTCGTACACTCCTATCACGAAGCCATCCAAAGGTAATGGGAAAAATGCGGGAAGCTCGGAAGCACCTACGGAAACCAAAAGTGGCCACCAACTGCACTTTTCGATTGATTGGAACAATTTCAGTGTCTAATCTAACTGATTGTAGACACCCATAGTTTGAATGTGCAAACGCGACGAGAATACTTGAAATTTGTAGACCATCGAGTCTAAAAATCACCCAAAATGACTGTTAATGGAATCCCCAACTCTTTGCAGCTTTATGATGCCGCATTTTGGGTTCGCAGGCATGCTACAGTGCAGAACATTTGCTACAATAATGGATAAACATTGAGGGCGCATACTTATGTCTTTATTTATTATCGGAAATCCCTTCCTGATGATATTAATCCCCTAACACTCTAAACAGGAGGTCAGCATTGATAGGTATAATAATAGAGCGGGCCAGCCTCTTATTGTATAGAAAGTGCTGTGTTTCTCATAATGTTTACAAAAACACACCACGCGTGGACTTTCCTAAACAAAATCAACAGCCAACTTCGTTTTGTGTTACTTCTAGGTGCACGTCTCAGTTCAGTTCGGTTTTCCAGCTCAATAACTATGCACTGAACGCCGTGGTTCCAGCTGCCACGGTTTCTTTCACAGAGAATGAGGGAAATAAGGTACTGTGAGACGAGCTGGGGGCGGGGGCCCATCAGTCACTTGATTGATGTCGAATATTTCTCTTTGTCAGACATGGCATGAACAGTGAAGGTGACAGCTTTGAGGCAAGACCGCCATTCGATTCGTGACACAGCCAAATCTGCCAGGGTCCCTAGCCGTTGGTTTGTCTCGTCCCGCGGTCCTTATCTAGGTGGACGGTGGTTATCAACGCGACTGAGTTGACTAACTTTCATGCTTCGTTTTCAAGTCATGTACTTACCGCCTCTGGATTGTCTACATTCGACACCAGCCTCGGCGAAGGGGGGCGAACGGTTCTCAGACGTATGAAGTACATGGCCCAACTAGAGTAACCGGTTGATCTATCCTGAAAACCGTCTGGAGAACCTGGATTTTATGATCTGATGTCCCAACTAGATCCATGCAATACATCGGAGGCATCGATGGTCAAACACAGAGAGCTTTCAGTCTTACACATGAGGCCACCACGTCTCTAATCCATAGAGTAGGACAGATCTGACCGTCGTATTGAACACTGTACACTTG